CGGATCGTCGGATTTCACAGAAAAAATTGTTCAGATTTTGGATCTGGCGAATATTTTACACAGATTTGCAGATCTTATTAATACAAGCGGATTGCGGATTTATCTAATATTTTGGCTCGGATTGTGGATTTAGCTTGCAATTTAGTTCGGATCCTGGATTATTTTACACAGATTTGCGGATCTTATTAATACAAGCGGATTTATCTAATATTTTGGCTCGGATTGTGGATTTAGCTTGCAATTTAGTTCGGATCCTGGATTGTGACTTCATAGTAGAGCTTTTAGCGGATTCAAATTTAGACAAGACCATTGTCGGATCGCAGATTTTGCTTCAAATTTGGGCGGATCGGCGGATTTGTATACCCCTATTCACCCCCTGTGGGGTTGTTCCATATGCACAGGGCCGCCAAGAGAATTTGCGGGGCCCGGGGCAAATCTTCTCTGGGAGCTCCATGACATCATTATTTTTAAGCTAGACCTAAGTCAGTCACCTAACTAGACCTTAGCTAGACTGCATGTGGACCTACTGTAATTTCAAAAATTCTCTGACCAAGTTAAAGAACCTACTCAATTTCCTACTAGGCTCTTGCTCTCAAGAACCTACTAGGCTCTTGCTCTCAAGTTGGGGCCTTTTAAGGTTAGGGCTGTGGCAATTCCCCCCCCCCCTCCATGCAGGGATGTGCATTGTTGCATACTGCAGACTTGCAACACAGAATAGAGACCACACAGAATTCCCTATCGCTGTGTTCCTAGCCAGTGTGCTAACAAGCAGCATTCAACGTCCCCCGAAAACATTCAAAATGGAAGACATTCGGGGGGGAGAGGTGTGGTGAATGCCTCTTGTAAGTCTTGTAAGCTCACTTGGTAGGAACATGGCGAGTGAATTTTGATGACGAATCATTGCGAATCATGGCTTGGCGGTGGTTATGTATTTTTGGTCAGACTTGTGTGTGGTCTCTATGGACCTATTCCCTAATGAACAAAATTTTGATTTAGACAAGTGTAGACAAAAATTTTATCACAGCTTGAAAGAGCGTCACAAAATTAGTAATATGCCGAAGTTTCATTGCAAAACGTTGTAAAATGCGGATAATACAACCCTGCGAAGTTTGCAGTTTTTCAGTCATTTTGTATTACGTGTGGGAAATTGATACTTGTTTTCAGAAAGCGGTATCAATTTCCCGCACGTAATACAAAATGCCTGAAAAACGGCAAACTTCGAAGGGCTATATTATCCACATTTTACAACATTTTGCAACGAAACTTTGGAATATTACTAATTTTCTGATGCTTTTTCAAGCTGTGGTGAAATGTTTGTCTAGACTTGTCTAGATCAAAATTTTGTTCATTAGGGAATAGGTCCATTCTGTGCTTGCAATCTTTGATTACTGTAATTGCAGTCTGTGCCCAAATCTGGAAAAAAATTCCCATTTGGCTAATGCTAGATTATTTTTAAAGAATATTGCTAAATAAATCCATGCTGTACATGATAACTATATCCACCTTACAGCAATGCATTTGGCTACAAGTTCATTGGTTGTCCGATGTGTATCACCAATGCAAAATACTCTCGCAATGCTTTGCTCTTCAACGTGTGTTTTGTCCTCGATGACGCAGCTGACGTGCACTGTTATAAACCTGTTGTCAAGAAACTGGCTGCATATTTGACATCACTTGAGGTATTGAATTTGAGCTATTCAAATTGCAAAAAAAATCGGTCAGAGAACTTGAGTGAGAGAACCATCTGACGAAATGTTCAGTGACTTTGAGTTCAATGGCTCCTCATACAATGTGCCAAAATGACGTCTGTTGTCACAATAATTATCGAACCAAATTGCCTAAATACGTCCATAGGTAATATGCATCTCTAGTTAATATTGATGTTGGGACTCTACTGAAAATCGTCCAGCAAAAATCCGCCAAAACCATGAAAAAAATATTTAAAAAAAATTTATTTCCAACCTACCTACCCTAATCTAATTTTCTTACGATATGAAACCGGAACCACAGGTATTTTTTAGGCCCTATTCACTCAGGTCGGACAAACAATAAACTTGAGTTTCACTTTGGTCGGACAGAATGTCCAGTGGTTTCACTCGCTATGTTGGACAATTTCACGAATGGGTAGGACAATGTCTGTGACCAATCAATATTTTAAGGCCTGGTTAACCTATTACAGTGGATGCCAGCACTCTCCCCTTGACAAGTAAAATTGTCTGGTGTTGGACAGAGTAAAATAATAAACTATGATGCATTAGGATGCATTGCCATTGCCACTTAAGGGTAAAATCAAGCTGTTCTTAGATCACTCTTTCTATCATTTGCAGATACTGTAACCCTTATTTAAATTTTCAGCTAGAGAATGGATTTCTCTCACAAGAAGACAGTAAAGAAAGAATTCCTGGTATTCTCACAACCATCTTACATGGTCTGAATGCTGAAAGAAAATGCACTATTCCTATAAGTAAGGATTCCTAGTTGTGCTTTCTCTAAATGCCATAACTGCAGACGTCAGAAAACCATGGAGTGACACTACCTTATTACAGTAATTACAAGAGATTTTTAAACTCATTAAAGTGTTCCTACTGATTTAGATGAAGCAACAACAATATTTCTCAATTTGGCATTGACGAAAGGCGACTGTCCGAAAGTGCTTGACCATGATGTTCCTATATTTCTCTGGGAAAATTCAGTTATAAATGCAGCTCAGTGGGACATTACAACACAACAAGTAAGATTGCATATCAGGCCTCGAATTTCCCTGAAATCAATCGACGGCAATGGTGTTAAAAATTGCTGTAGAACGTAACAGCTGTCCACGGCAATTTTGACAGTTTCCACGGCATCTTTCAAATTACTGTAATAAAAGTAAAACTTTAATTTTATTGTTACTTTGGATTTTTGACAAGCTAGAAACATGTCTACTGGTCTACGTATTTCTTGAGTGTTTTTTTTCCCGAAGAAAACTGAGACTAAAATAGTGATTTACGCATGAATTGATCAACTACCGGTCTACGTACATGTATTTCTTGAGTGTTTTTTTTTCGAAGAAAACTGAGACTAAAATAGTGATTTGATCAACATCTGAATTCAAGTATCAAAATAGTAAAGCACAGTGAATAGTATAAAAATTGCACTATACGGCAAAAAATTGCCGTCGTTGCCGCAATGATCCACGGCATTTTGTTCTCCCTCAACGGCAATTGCCGCGATAAAATTCGAGCCCTGTTGCATATAATATTTTGGCTAGGTGGTGTCTACCCAAAATCATTGATCATCATGTTCCAATATTTCCTGGAAAAGTTCAGTTGTAAGTCCAGCCCAGTGTGGATCCACATCACGACACAATCATGTTGCTTGGTGTGTTTTTCTCTAGATCTTGCCTTTTATTGATGGTTTCCGACATATTCAGAAGATTGCAGCACAGGCAGACGTTGATTTGAACTTAGTGAGAATTTGCATTCAAAATATGGTGTAAGTCTGCTATGTGTCTATGTCCAATACTTTTGTTTTAGTTTGTAGTTTTTTTTAGATGAGATAT